CACAAAGACACTAAAAAAACTAAATGGGGGAGAAAGCTAAAACACAACTGTCACATTACAAACGAAACTACAAAGCCTGAGGGCACTTAGGGAAGTGATGAGGAAATGTACTGGCAAGTATGGAATAACATTTGGTTTGATGCAAAGCCATCTAACCTCCTGCAAACAAATCAAGATGACTGCTCAATAGACAGGTTGCCTGGAAGTGTCCTAAGAATGGCTTGTGGTTAAGGTTGCTGGGTCAATTACAAGAACCTGTTTTTCTGAAGAGGTTAAATAAAGAAGTGGCATAAGGATGTGTGTTCTTCTGATTTCTATCTAGAGGATTTAGACAAGAAGACTTGGACAAGTGGAATAAATCCAAACCTTCTCTTCTAAAGTGGAGTTCGAAATGAAGTCAGCTTGAACATTTTTGTTACTCAAGTTGGGCTTGCTTGTTGGATGGCATGAGAATAGTTAGGTAGGTCATCCAACCTGGCATGCCTGCAGGTATCAGTATACCTGGAAAGCCAGAAATACATCTGGAAGACAACAGGTTTTTCAAGCAAAATGTGCAACACCTAAATAAGCAAATGTTGTAGGTTTGTATCTACTCAGACCTGTCAACTCTGTTGCTTTCTCCTTGAGCAATAGACTTGTCAACACTGTGACTTTGATAGCTTGGTGCCCTTCAGATTTTTTCTACTACAACTCCCAGCAATCCCACCTTGCTGAAAAACAGCTGTTGCAGAACTCTTGCAAAGAACACGCTCAGTATCTACTTGAAGTTGCTCCATCCCCTTGCCAGTCCCATCATTGGCACAAGGTTGTTAGGATGGAGGACTCTCTTCTGCTTGGGATATGAGAGCACTAAATCCAGCCCCACACTGTCCTCCTCAAAGCTGAGGGCACTAACCATCTGCTATGCAGTGTTGGGAATTCTATTCCACCTTTCGTTGCAGATATGTGGATTGTTACATGTCACATGTCTGTTTACATTCCAGCACAGATTGCTGGCGTGAGCGGAACTTCTGCTCTGTATTGCTTTTGTTTTCAATCTCTATCCAAGAAGACGGCAAGGAGAGAAGCCATGTTTTCTTTATCCTGATTTACGTATAATAAATGTGTAGCCTTAGTATTGTATCTATGCCTCAAGCCTCATTTGTTGCACAATTTACACTGCTGAGTAATGTGTGCTCAAGTATGCACTGCAGCTTGAGTCACTGACAAATGTCGGAGGAGCAGAGGTCCATGGATCTCCACAGCGGCAAAGCTGAGAGGGGATACGCTCCAGCTGGGACCAAACCAGCTGGCCTTTCATCCCCAGTTCTGACATGGGGATGGGCTACACAGTGGCACCAGGAAGGGGTGGGACTTTGGGGCAGATGTCCGGGGGGGGGCAGTCAGCAGAGTGAGCAGGAAGGCCCCCAAACTCTTGAAGGGCTGGCTTACCACATTTTGAAGTAAGCAGTAAACAATGCAATAGAAAGAGCAGGGAGAGAGACATTTAAGCCCAGAGTCTAAATTTACCTAATTGCAGCACTAGAAATACACATGAATGGGCATTAGAGACTTTGGATTTGGTGCTATCGAAATAATTTCCAAACTCAGGATATCTAGTCAATGAGCGGTTCCATGTGAATGAACCCGAATTATGGACTTAGTAATCAGAAGCTGCAAAGAGAAGTGGTTTTATTTTTCTTTGATTCTCAACTAGTTGCTGCTTTGTTAATAGCGTTTTATAGATTGTAATGATTTTACTGATGATTTGTTAAGTGTTTCATATGATTTATGCTGTACTTGGGATGTTCTATTATGTTATTGCTATTTATTGTTTGTAAGCTGCTTTGGGATTCATTTGAATGGAAGAGGGCATAGAAATACAATAAATCAAATCAAATCAGTGTTGTATGCTCAACAAGGAACAAAGATTAGTTCGCCATGGCTGAAAATAGCAATAGAGTTCCAAGTTGTTCTTTTGGAACAATGTTCAAATTCACTCTCTCAAAAGATATAAATTATAGCTCTGAATGACTAGAATTGTTTTACTGTTTATGATTACTTTATGATGATTTGTATATTTCATTTAAAGTAGGGACAGGGAACCAGATATTGCAGAACTACAGCTGCCATCATCCCTGACCTTTGGCTATATTGATTGGTGCTGATGAGAGTTGGAGTCTGACTGCATCAGGAGGGGCACAGATTCCCCATCTCTGATCTAGAGACATTCTGGTCCTATAAAATGGCATAGATTGAGGCAGCAGCAGAAAGAAAGTGGCCTGCAGCTGTACAGTGATCTCATGCCAGGCCAACTGAACAGCAGCCTGCAACTTCCAGCTCTCCAAGGAAGTCACCAGGCTATGCATGGACATTTAAGAAGTCATCTTAGGAGGCTTCTTCTGAGTGGGTTCTCTGATAAGAACAAAGGCCAGTGCGCCTATGTTGCATGGGCTTCAGCACTGCAAAGACAATGATACTGCTGGCCTGGAGGGCTATTAATAGTCCAGAAATTTATGTTTGGGTTGTGCAGGCTGCTGAGCTGGCAGCAACTGAATTGATAGTATGTTAAGAGATGACACAAGATAAAGGATTACAATGAAATATTATCTACATTTATGGATTATATCATGAAGCAAAGAGAAATGTAAAGTGTATGGATTTTAAGGTTTATAAATTGCTGTGCTGTGATATGCATGGTATGACATCCCCCGATATGATTGATGTGCTCCAAGTTGGATTTGAGTGAATCACTTTTATTGATCAGTATATACTATAAGATGCGTAGAATAAAATGGGGGGTGGAGTTAATACTAAGGGGAAAAGTGCATGCTACAGGTCTCGTGTGCAATGAATTCCCCATCTCTCCATCTGATACGGCTCCTGAAATGTTAAAATTTTTTATCCCTGAGTGGGGCCTGGGGCTTGAACCAAGAGCAGGTCCCAGGGTAGAAATCTGAGAAGCAGGAGTTTGTTTTTGTCAGTTGTTTTTGTCGGGCTGCAACAGAGCCTACTGATTTCGGGTCAGTCTGGAGCTTGAGTTCATTCCAAAGACTGTCTTCTTGCTGAAGGTTTATCATTAAGATAAGGCAGGGGTAGCCAATGTGTTGTCCCACATCCCTGACAACTGGCTGGGGCTGATGGGAGTTGGAGACCATCAACCTGAGAAGCTGGAATGTAGATGAGATAAAGTTGCTCACTGCCATTTGGAGTGAGAGTCTTATCATCAGGACTCTACCTTCTACCCTGTGAGGTAATGAATGCAGCACTGATTCAGTTCCATGAATATTTGAGTTGTTATCTAGTCAGCTGCCATTGTTTTACAAAGCAATTGGTTAGGATTTTGTGTTACTGATTTAACAGTATAATGTAGTTTTCAAAGGTAATTATTTGGTCTGTTTTTATTTCTTTTGCATTTTATGCGGCCTATCTTTGATTTTTCTGTTGTACACGGACTTGAGTTTGTTTTGTATTGATCTGTATGTTTTTTATACCGTCTTGATAATCTTTTGTATGGGACTGGTGCTCAGCAGTAGGGCAGGGGAGAGTGAATCTATCAGTTTTGGGGGAGACTGGAAAGCTTACCATAATTCTCAAATAATGTGGCAAGAGAGGATGGCAAGTGTGGCAGGAAGATTCAAGGACAAGCAAAGAAACATTTAAACATTTCAGTGTAGTATGGATATGCAACTAGAAACAGTATTCACGCCTCTCTTCAAGAGCATTGGCTGTTCTTCTGCAGATCTCCATATTGTTATGAACAGGGATTTTAATCTCTGACAAATATGAAAGATCAGAAAAGAGAAACGCTTCTTTGTGTTGATGAGGAAATGAAAGTTTGTATCAAATTAGACCTAATATAAATGCTTTTATCCAGCAAAAGCAAGATCACACCTCTCATTCAGTTTGTATACATACTTAAGGTACATATGTTAGAGGCTCGTTCATAATTATATTTTGGAAATGATTCATGTTCTTATGTAGGTGCATTGTTTTATACTTCTTGGATGTCCCATGAACATATTATAAAGTAGTTGTGTTCTCTGTTATAAATCAAGCACTTCTAGGAGTTGTTTCTTTTGTTTCCCATTGTATTTCCTTTCCAATAAAAACTTTGGTGTGGCACAAGCAAATTTTTATTCTGAAAGTGTGGCCCAGAGAAAAAAATGTGTGAGAACCAGTAATTTATGAGAAGAGTTGGCAGCCATCTTTTCCTCCAGCGATTTCCTGGGATCAGCACTGCATCATCATAGAGCATCCCTGTCCTTGGGCAGCAGTGGTGAACCTGGTTCCCGACAGATGCTCTGGGACTCCTAGTTCCCATCATCCCCAGCCAGCAACAACCAATACTCAGAGTTTTTATTTATTACTTCATTTATTAAAATGTTTCTGTAATACTGTATCTACAGTGGTACCTCGGGTTACATACGCTTCAGGTTACATACGCTTCAGGTTACAGACTCTGCTAACCCAGAAATAGTGCTTCAGGTTAAGAACTTTGCTTCAGGATGAGAACAGAAATCATGCCCCGGCAGTGCGGCGGCAGCGGGAGGCCCCATTAGCTAAAGTGGTGCTTCAGGTTAAGAACAGTTTCAGGTTAAGAATGGACCTCTGGAACGAATTAAGTACTTAACCTGAGGTACCACTGTATATATCTATATCTATAGCTATATCTATATCAGTTTACAAGAGTAGAAAAACATAAAACGGCTGATGGGAGTTGTGGCCCATCCACACCTGATGGTGCTGTAAGACCTGGCAACGCTGCTGATGCTGCTGATGCTTTTACTGTCAGTAAAGCTCTTGAAGTGGTTAAAGGATGGAAAGGAACAGGAACCTTCCCTCACCTCTTCACATCAGTCATGATGTCAAGTCCCCGACACCTCCGAAAACGAGTCGATTTCATCTTCTCCATGGAAAACGACGACTTATTCACCAGCTCCTTTCACCTCAGCCTCCACCCCTTATATAATTATTGGTAAGCTTTCCTACAAAGGCTTCAGCCCAATGTTAATTGATAGGTGCTCTGTCCATAGAGCTTGAGACTCTTCATCTCAGGGTTGTGGGTTTGAGCCCCATGTTGGACAAAATATTCCCCTGCATCACAGGGGGTTGGCCTAGATGTCCCTCCAGGTCCCGTCCAACTCTACAATTCTATGATTCTATGTACCGATGCCCAGAGGTGTAGCGTGAGGGATGCCATGGGAGGCCGTGGCCCCGGGCACAAACAGGTGCCCCCACAGCAGGCTGCTTCATCGGAGCCTGGCACCACACCAGAAGGAGCTGCACCTTGGTAGTGGCACTTGTGCCTGGTGCAGAGCAGGCAAGATGGTGGCAGCACTGCCGCCAACCCTCCTCGACTATGGTACATCTTACGCCCTGCAGCAGCAGCTCTGCCACCATGTCACTTCTGACCCGGTGGTGGAGAGCAGCCGTCCTTGGCCACGATGAAGCACGCCTGGCTGCAGCGGCTCTGTTTGACCTGGCAGAGTAGAGTCGGCATCTATGCTGCCTGACACCCACCCTCCTTGGCTTGCGTCCGGCTGCAGCAGCTCCACTGCCGGGTCCCACTTGACCCGATGATGGAGAGGTAGAGGAGAGTGGGCAGCAGCTCCCCCCCAAACCTTGAATTGTGGCATCTGCTCTGCCGCTGCCAATGCCTGCCAGCTTTACCGGGGATAGGAAATTACGCTTCATACTGTAGGGACTTTTCTCTCTCTTGTTTTCTTTTTAAAGCCAGCTCCCTCTGAATGGTTGTCCCCAATTGTTGGTCTTGGTGGAGCTGAAGAAACAGAAAAGCGTGAAGACACATCTTGCCTACCTCACCTGTGACAGTCGCAAAGCGCTTGGAGGAGCCCAGTAGTGCCATCACAGCCCTTATCTGCTGTGATCAAAGCTATTACCGTGCATATCAAATTAATTAACAATAATGACTTGACACTGATTATCGTCTTTAGCCCATTGAGCTGCTTTGATTAAATAAAGAGGTTCTCCTGCTGGAATTGTAAATTCCAGAAGGTGCCTTCCTATTTTATTTTATTTTATTTATTTATTTATTTATTTATTTAATTGATTGCATTTACAGCCCACCTTTTTGTCCAAGGAGCTCAAGGTAGCATACATGGCTTCCCTTACCGTCCTCATTTAATCCTGCAGCAACTCTGAGAGGTAGGTAGTCAGTGTGGTGTAGTGGTTAGAGTGTTGGACTAGGACCTGGGAGAGCAGGGTTCAAATCCCCACTTCAGCTATGAAACTCACTTGGCGAGTCACAGTCACTCAGTCTAACCTACCTAAGGTTGTTTTCTTTAGTCAAAACTGCCTACGTAATTTTTTTGTGATTCTCCAGCACAACTACAAGCACTAGAAATTTGGTGTTGTTCTTTGGGGGGTGGGGGAGCTGCTTGGATTCTTAGCATTCAGCTAGTGCAGCCTGCTTTACAGACATTCCCCAGCATAAGGACAGTTACTGTAGGTGTTTCCTGGTCTTCCTGAGCTTGAGTTGAATAATGTGAGAATTGTTTCTGAACAGCAGGAGTCAAGCAGTATGGAAAACAATCTTTGTTCTTGGCAAGGGCTGTCTTTTCTCTCACCCCCGCCCCTCCAGGGAGTAGATTACCCAAGTTGTTCTTTTCTACACTAGCATTGCCACCTTCTCAATCATGCCTTTGCCTCTGATCTGCAGCCTGAAGGAGGCATTTATATAAGGGCGAGAAAATATTCACGTAATATTTGCCCATCAAACTGCTGCTAAATTGTTGTTTGTTTCTTTATAATGCATCATCATCAGCATGCACTGCATTTTACAGAGTATCAGAGGCCATGTCCCTGCCCTGAGGAGTTTACAATCTAGAACTGGACAATGGGGAACAACGGTGGAAGGAGAAGGAAGTGGAGGCAGGGGTAAACAGGAAATCAACAAGCAGTTGCTGCAGCTGCACGCTGTTATGCTTAGCTACAGTATGACAGCTTCCCCCAACCTCAAGATGTTGCTGGACTCCAGCTTCCATCAGTTCCAGCTGGGACGGCCAGTGGTGAGGAAGGATAGGAATGATAGTCTGAAAAATCCAGAGTAGGGCAAGGGAATTCTAGGTTGAAGCCATGTAACAATTATAATAATGAATAACACTATTAAATTTGGCCACAGCAAACAGCAAATAATGTTGTTGCTTTGCAGAACCTGAACTGCAGTGGAACGGAAACAGCACTGCATGCAACAGTATTTTTTGCTCTATAAGATGCACCGGACCACAAGACGCACCTAGTTTTTGGAGGAGGAAAACAAGAAAAAAAAAATATTCTGAATCTCAGAAACCAGAACAGCAAGAGGGATCGCTGCGCAATGAAAGCAGCAATCCCTCTTGCTGTTCTGGCTTCTGTGATAGCTGCATAGCCTGCATTCGCTCCATAAGACGCACACACATTTCCCCTTACTTTTTAGGAGGAAAAAAGTGAGTCTTATGGAGCAAAAAATACAGTATATGTTGGGGGACTACAGCTCTCTGATCCTTGGACGTGCTGGGTGAGGCTGATGAGAGTTGGAAACCAGCAACATCTTGAAGACCACAGGTTCCCCACCCCTAGCGTAGGGTTTCAGAGGTAGAGTGGTATGGTGCTGAGCTGAAAGCCATATCATTTGATGAGGCCACCCACATAAGAACAGAGTTTCAGAGACTTAAGGAAATCAAGTAGGAACTAGCAATCTGTGGAGCATAGCCCATTAAAAAAAATGCTGACAATCCTATTCTTCACTCTGCCCTTTTTTAATTTATGCATGCTTTTCTTTACACACACACACACACACATATATATATATATATATATATATATATATATATATAACTCCCCCCGCTTCCATCACCTGTTACACAATGGTTACGCTGTGCACTGCACGACTTTAGAAAAGACCCAGCCATTGTCATATTCAGCTCTCCTTCAACTCTTAAGCAATCAGGATGAATGCTGGCTTTTTGGTGCTTTGCTCGCCTCTGGAAAGCCTGTGAGGCAGAGAGAGCGAGGTTAAGGTTTTCCTTTTAATGAGCAATTGGTGGAGCATTGGGAGCATGGCTCTGGGTTTTGTGGTGTGTTTTTTCCTCAGTGTTAAAGGTTCTGAGAGAGATTAAGGGAAACAGGCCCTGTGAAAGGATTAGCAGATTTGTGTGTTCGGTTCATCTCTTTAAATTATTATCCCCCTAATTGCCAGTATGATGAAAGTCCACTTGGCAAGGATCAGAAAGAGGTAGAGCAAGCAATCAGGCCTTGAGAGAAGGCTCAAGGGGGGGCTGCGGAGCAGGAGGGGGCAGCAATGTGATTCCTGTTTTGTGCCTGATCAACAGAGCACTTACCTCTTCATTACCAATTCATGAGGCAAGGCTTTTTCTTGGGTCAACGTCAAGATCAAGACTAGCATATGCTTGGAATCTGGGACTCCTTGTGGGGACGGCCCATCCATGATTCAGACTGATGTAGCAGACCCTCCAAGTGTCCCTATTTTCCAGGCACACTCCTGGATTTACAGAAGCCTTCCATGTTTCTGATTTGATCCCAAAATGTCCTGCTTTTCCTTAGGATGTCCCTATTTTCATCGAAGAAATGTGACCCCCGATCCAAGGAGATAAGACACTATACACCCTTTAGAAGACATCTGAAGGCAGCCCTGTGTAGGGAAGTTTTTTAATGTTTAATATTTTGTTGTGTTTTTATATATGTTGAGCTGTTTTGGGCAAAGATGTTATGCTCTTTGGGGTAAAACCGCTTAAAAACAACAACCGATTCTGAGGTATTTTTATGGAACGACGGCATTTCCACCCGGACACAGCTGCTGACAGCAGTATTCCACATATATATCTGGGAAAATCTGGACATATGGCAACCTTATAAATTATTATTATTATTATTATTATTTAGAACATTCCTATTTCCATCGGAGAAATGTTGGAGGGTATGATGTAGCCACCTCAGGAGGCAAGGGCACTGCCTTGGGCACCTTCACCAGAGAAACCAGGACAAGCAGCAGCAGATTCTGGCAAGAGCCCCATGAAATCTCATAGAATCTTGCGGGACTCTCACAAGATCTCCTGGGGCTCTTGAGAGATCTCGCCGGAATCTGGAATTCGCAACTGCATGAACCAGTCTGAAGGGGATCATAAAATTTTATGGCAGGCAAAGTTAGCCAAACCTGAGCTGTCAACTTCTACAGGACCTATCAGACCCATCGTGCAATGCTGTGCCTGACTCAGAAGTAGTCCCACTGTGTTGGATGTGCCTTACACCCCAGGAAGTGCATTCAGGATTGCAGCCTTTGCTTGTGTCTCTGTGTAGCTCTCAGCCCTGCTCCTGTGTGGGTTATGAGTTGATAAACTATTCAGCAGACTTCTAGTTCACAACCTGTGTGTCTCCTATATTAATCATATAATAATCTATTCAATCAAAGTCAGTGGAGCAAGCGAATGTCTGCTGTACATGACTGGTGTGGGTTTTTAAAGCTTTTCATAAAATGGAAGTGCTAGATTAATTTGTAGCATTAAATACAAGACCCTCGCCCTTCTTAATTAAAAAGCAAATGCCCAGCCAGTTATGAAACTGCAGCTTCCCAATGCCAGTCATGCTAGACTGAGTGGATTTTACTGAAGGGGGGGAGATGAGGTGAAGATGCCCATCACAGTGATTTCGGAGGTGTTAAATTAGCCACTGTAGACTTCCAGGGCAGCCCAAGAGTGTAAAGGGAACTTATTGAATGTGACAAAGGCAAATGTAATGCAACGCTGAGTACCAGGGCTGTGGAGTTCACAGAAAGTGCACACACCTGGCTTTCCACAGCAGTTTGCAATGAGGTCCAAAGCCGCGAAGGCAAAATGTAATAAAAATTTGTCTCACTCTGCAGAGCATGGAGGAATCTGTGGCAATTGCAAAGGCATGAAAGACCCAGCACAGAGAATAATGGAAGGTTGTTTGCAAAGCCATAGCCAGTTAATAACCCCATCTGTTGTAGTGCTGTATCATAGCTCAGTGGTACAGTGCCTAATTTGCATGTAGAAGGTCTTGGGTCCAATCTCTTGTATCTCCAGTTAAACAATATAATCTGGCTCTG